GGAGTCAAATACTGTAGGATAAATCCAGATAAAACCGATTCCCTGAGCTGTTTGCTGCAGCTCCTTGCCACAATCTCTTCTTGATACCTTCATTACTCAACCTCTAAAATATTCAGTTAAACCATTGCAGAATAAGAGAAATAGCATCATTTTTGAGGCAGCAAGCAGAGTAACGGATAAATATTTGTCCCAGTTGTGAACATGCAGCTTCTGACATTTGCATTTCTGCCTTCACTAATTATTGTGAAGTCGAGGTACCATAAACATACTGATGGTGCCAAGGGCCTTGAAAATCAGCATTTAGAGAGGAATGGGAATAGAGACAGCCGTCTTCTGATTGCAAGGCAGCCTGAGGTCTAAATGGCAACAAAACGTTATACATAACGTCTGATTCACTGTGTGGAGAATGTAAAGAATTGAGACCTCCCGACACAGTTTACATTGGCCCTTTTTATGACTAATTGTGCAGAAAATAGCTCTGCTTGTAGTGTGCATGGAAACAGTTCAGGTTTCTGCTGTGTGTCAGCTAATGGGCTAGCAAGGCTTTTTTTGCACAACTTCAAAGGCTCTAGCAATGGAGGTCCTTTGTGAGGGAATTATCTCCTGCTCCTTTGTACCCCTTTATCCCACTAAGCCATGGAACAAAGAATTGTGAAACGAAGAGACAAAGTAATTTGTGGGAGATCTTGAGATCTAGATAAAGCACATAGTATTTGCTTAGAAACATTTTTCCTGCTTCTTCCATCCAAACAAGATTGTACTTATGAGTGTAGGAACACCCAAGTTCATTTAACTTTTGAAGGATGCAACCTTATGCTTGATTATGCTATAGATGGGGTCACCAAGATGTCCCAAATGGTAAAGGGGACCTTTAGTTTCAAAGGTCAATTAGAAAATGCTCAGTTGCAACTGTTAGATCTGGCTGAGAAGCATACTTTTCTCCTGACCCCAGCACATTCTGCTCAAAGAGGAGGAAAATCTACTTTCTCAGGAGTGTGCCTACATGCACACACTTTATGGAAACCTTGCATTTTCTATTACCTGTTTAGCTTTTGTTGTTGTTTGTAACAAAGTGGCTTATTCTTTCTTCCTTGCATTGAAAAATGAAACCTTGGGGAGACAAGGAAATGCATTACGTGCGTCTATTTTGTGTAGTACAAAGCACAGTTCTTAAATAAAAAGAAGAAACGGGGATGGGAGACGTTTGATTAATGTTAACAACCATGCTGTGTAACGTCTTCATCCAGTGTGTCCAGTCATAGATCTTCTGTCTCAGAAACACAAAACACCAAACAAAGGAGACAAAAATCTTGCCCTCAATCAAACATAGAAGCTCACAGCAAATGCTGTGAGTTGTCCTCTGTGTTTGTATTCAAACTCCAATAAAACTCTTTGTCACTAGTGGGTTGTCCTCAAGACAATCTCAGGAATATTTGCTTATCCTTAGGGGACAGGAAGACTGCATTCACACCTTTCCTGGTGAGCTGAAGTGCGTAACAGAGTAAATGTTAAATGTAAATGCATGAAAACCTGCAAATAGTTAACTAGATATTTTGTTCCAATACTTCGGAGTATTTGCCTCATATCATCACAAATATCTTGAGTATAAATACGTAATGGACTGTTGTGTCAATATTGTATTTTATTTGAAGAAATTATTTTTTATTTTCTTATTTTTATATTAAACGATTGGGAGAGGCTTTCTTGTATATCTTCATACTCAGGTACTTTCAAATTCTTATCTAGAAAAATCTTTTCTGTCTGCTTTCTCTCCTATTCCCATACTCGCATGTAATTCCCAAGGCAGGCAGTGTTCTGACCTCTTGGATCCAGCTTTCAACAGCTGTCAAGGTGAATTTAGTTACCACTGCAAGAATAGTTTATCCAGCAGGTTTACAGTGAAGAGGGGAATAGAGACACAGAAGCAAGAGCATTACTCTGTGCCTCTAAGTTATCTGATCTACCTCTGGATGCAAAAACTTCTCAATACCTTTTGGAATGAAATTTTCTGTCCAGGGAGAGAATTTTTTTTTTTAAGTTTTTAGTAGAAGCGCACACATTTTCATACATATGCACATATGAAGTACACATAAAATTTGAGTATATATAAATGAAATCCACTGATTTTGTAACTAATCTGGCAATTATTACATATTGTGTTTGTACATATGGGCAGCCGGAGGCAGGGACTTCTTACTGACCAAATCCATGCTGAATGTAAGTGCTTCACATCCATAGGTTAATGTCTTTTTTATTGCATGCCAATAAAAGTACTATATTGTTGTCAATATTCAACATCAATGCTTATCTCAACTTGTATGTGACCACAGGGAGCTGTTTTATGTAAGGCATTTCTCATATTGAAAGTCATCCTAGATTTTAAAACAAGATAGACTTATCAGCAGGAAGAAAGCCAAAACATTTCTTCCAAGAATTCTTTTAGCCTTGGAACTACAACAGTGGCAAGCGACTTTTCATATTTCTTTTGACCAAACTGCGTGGGATCTCCCAGGTGCCACCTTTTTCCACAGAGTTTACCTTACTCTTCCACATATTCCTGGTCCTTTGCACTTCAGAAATTTCTGCATCCAGAGCTAGAGTGGGAAAGGTGCTGGAGAGTCTATGTTTTCCTCTGCTGTCATGTGCTGCAGGTCCCAGTGTCATCATGGTCTCAACAAAATGGGCAGGAGCAGGAGGCCAGGAGGTGTCACTTTCAGTCTCATGCTTGGCTTGAAAGGGATTTGCATGTTTTGCTGGGGGAGCTGACGTTGGTGTAGGCCTGCCATTTAGTGGACGAGGAATTGTAACTATTGCGTAGTTTCCCTTTTTTCCCCTGGATTTAAAGCAGTTAAAATTGGGTTCTTTTGGGTACTGTCCTGATGTCAAAGGTTTGCTGGATCTAGGACAACTTATTTCTATTAAGAAATCTCTTGCCATTTAAAACTGCTTCAGGGAAAGGAGAGCATTGGATTTTGGACAGAAAGGTCCCTGACCTTGACGCTGTTGGTTTTGATTCCTCACTGTCACTTGCCAGTGACAGAACTGTGGCCGTTGTTTGCTTTGGCCACTACATAAAAAAACAGGATATGATCAAATCCAGTTAATCACTCACAAATGTCTCATTTCTTGAATCCTGAGGGTGTGTAAAACATTTTTGGGACTGCTCTCTGTTCCTTTGGCTTTTATTATAAGTAAGCTAAGGGAAAATCAAATTTTGAGTAGTCTTAAAAAGAAGCGGAGGAATTCTGGAACACGTTAGAGCTCTGCAAATGTATGTTTAATCATTTGAAGAAATGTCTTTTGGCTAAAAGCACTTACCAGTCCTTGCAAGTTGCGCTAAAAGCCGTACAACTACATCATTCTCACAACTGATGCGAATTAGCGCCCTTGTTGGCAGTGTAAGCAGAGCGAAGCAGGCTTAAGGAATACTGGAGACCGAATTACTCTTACATTCATTGTGACTTTATACAGCATGGGTGAAATGTCCTAGGGCTGACTCTGCTCACAGGTTACATTAAGTCATCATATAGTGGTATTGATTGGTGTTAAAGAATTTTCTTTCCAGTTTTTTCTGATGACTGCATGAACAGAGAGAGACTCAGGCATCTCTTGTCTGCCTTGTTTTTTTTTCTCTGTGAAAACCATTTGATTCTGAATTGGAGGCAGATAGTTACAGGCATCTCTGTATTAAATATATATTTAATATTTATCCTGTGCTTAAGGCGTGCGTACTCCCTCTGGACAGCAAGCTCTAAGCAAACCAGAGGAGTGCACTTCTACATGTGGGACGTGGTGGAACTTGCTGCTGCAAGAAGTCATGGGGCAAAAAGTAGATGGAGGCAGAGGTCTGAGCGCATTCATAGAGAATTGGTCTATTCAGAGCTGGCAGTGAGACGTGTTGACCTGGCTATAAATGAGTCACCCAGCCATGCAGAGATAGAAGTTAAAGGATGTAATGGGTGAGGACTGTTCTGTTATTTCCTAGTCTCTTTCATCTGTGTATTTTTACATATTTACTATTTACAGTGAGCCACAGCTGGAGTCAGGTTACTGTACTACGTGGTCTTACATATAACCTGTTAGTAGAGTTCTTGTGTCCTTGCTTTATACTTCAAACCCATCCTGAAAACAATGTGAAACTCTGACAATAAGTTAAAAGCTTTGGAGGGATTACACCGCCTTATTGAGTCTGTGCCCAAAGTCCTTTGAGGATTCCCATTGACTCCAGTAGGATTTGGTTCAGACTTAAGTGTATAGAATTCCCTTAAGTAAACTTTTTCAAGGCCCATATGTGCTGCAGTACTTATTGGGCTCTTTGTTACTTCTGTGAATAGGAGTGCAACCTTTACACTTTCACCAAAGTGCACTGATTTACAAAACTAATTCTCCTCATCTGGGAAGAGATGAAGTTACCTCCTGACCCCTCCCAACTCAGCTGAGAGGTTGATCAAGCAATTTCTGAGCCATGTTCATTTTAGGCAATGAGCCATAAATAGAGCAACTTTGGAGCTTCTTCATAAGCAGATGCCCATAAATGATGATGGGCAGGGTACACATCTGAGGGTGTAAGTTGTTCCAATTCATGAGTCAGTGCCCAAGCAATATTCTTTTCACCACTGCTGAATCATTCAGATACCCACATTAGAAGATCCTTTAGTCAATGCACATAATGAAAGTTGCTATGTTAGCGGATTGCAAATTCCTGTACAATAAAGTAATATTAAAAAAGAATCTATCTAGGCTTTGTTTTATACGCATCCTTGGTCATGTGAGGAGAGGGAGAGAGAAACAAGATGGAAGAAGATCATATCAGGCTGTATGCTGTTTGTTATCCTGCTCATCGCTACCTCAATTAATAGCATAATGTGCCTTTCCTGCTTCTAGAGCTGGAGTTTAGCTTCTGGTAACCTTGTATCCCAACCCTGTTGTTCAAAAGGAGAAAATAAAATGAGTGAGCAGAGCAGTTTGATTGACAGTGCTATTTTCTACCTATATTTTAGGTCACTTCCTGGGTAACAACACTGTGATTGATGTACTGAGACAAGCAGGATTTGAAGTGGAGCACACCCCTCCTGGACAACCGATTGGAAAGTAAGCAGCTGCCCACAGATTATTAATCATTTTCTTTCCTTATCTTTTTTTCTTCTCCTTTTTTTTTTTTCTGTAATGAAGCGAGATTATTGTCTTAGTAAAGGAAGTGGATGAGGGGATGTGGCACCTTCCATTCCCACCCAAATTCCAGACAAAAACTGTGCTATAAAGCATCCATAATATGAGCCTGGAAAATTAGGGAGCTTCAGTGGCTGTTCCTTTCACTTGTGAACATTATTCCTATCGCAGCTGCTTAATACTACCAGATCAAGGACACTGCAGTTTCTTCCTGTTTTCAAGAAAAGTCTTGTTCTGGTAGTTTGCCCCATATTTTTTTTTTCTCCATGGGTTTTGGTTGCTTCTCCAGTGCAGAACAGTGAAGTGCCACCAAATTCCTTTCTCTGTCAGGCTATCTTCTTCAGGTGGGATTTCAGTTTTGCCTGAAGGACTGTGTTGAATGTAGCAGATGCATCTTATGTTCTGGATAGTGAGCTGTACAGGTAAAAAGTGTTTGAATATTCCCCAAGCGTCTCCATCCATCTGATCAAGTGTAAAGCAGGCAAGGAAGACTGATACCAGGCTCTGGGCAATCTTCATTAGTATAAGCTGAAGTACAGCACAAAACTGTCCTCAGCTACTGAAACAGATTTCCTTCTTTCCGTAGACTTCTCTTTCCTGACAGTTCAGATGATGTCTTTGTTTGCTTGAGGTTATGAATATCTTAGAAAATAAAATTGGAAGAGGTGTTGAGATACTGTTAGGCTTGCAAAGTTAACCTTTTCCCTGCAATCCGCAGATAACAATTGGCTGAGATTTCCCCATCATAGGATTGTTATCCTCATTAGGATAAAACGTTAGCAGCATGGTCCTGTTCCTGGGGAGGCCAGCATGACTTAGTCCAAATATGAGGCGAGTCTCAGGATGGTGGAATTAATTGGGGGGTTAGGAGATCATGTCTGAAAAAACTATGTTTCTTGTACTTGGAAAAATCTGTCAGATTCAGCCTTGTTTGTGAAACAGTCACAATGATTTATATAGAATATAATATGGCTCAACTGTATAAGTGCCTTTGACAGAACATTTATCCTAAATGATTCTTAGAATATGTTGAGCCATAGAAGCCCGGTCTTAAATAACAATGGGAAGAAGTGGAAGAAAAAAACTAACACAAAGCAGAGCAAATATTCAGAGGAGGTTTAAGAAGCACTTGTGACAGTGAGGAAAAGTCAATGTGACACAGGAAGAGCTGTAAACGCCTTAACTGCCCGGAGCTTAAAATTTTGGCTAAAATGAATCAAAAAGCCTGTGTCTGAAAATACAGCAAAACAAAATCCAAGCAATCAATAACAACAGCTGAGTTTTACAGTTCCTGCAGGGATGCAGTTCCTGCATTTCTGACAAAAGCTTTCCTTTCAGGGAGGTATTTTCCGTTGTAATTTTCATTCAACTGAAAGTATCATCATGAAAAGTATTTAAGCTGAAAACTGTGAAAATTCTTAATTTATTGGCTGCTTGCAAGTCTTTGAGAAGTGTGAGAAAGACCCCAAAACAGTCTCTGTTCTTTATGGTCTTGGGATATGCCTTTGTAAGTCATCACAGGCTTGATGGAACACGATTGGGCAGGAAAAGTGAAACAGTGCCACTACTTAATGTTGACCAATTTGCAATGTGGGGGTTTCTCTGTGTATATCAACTTTGGCAGCAACATGTCTTTTCCATGATGGTCTTTCCTGAAGTTGTCAGTTCCTGGGGAAAATGTGTCAACATATATACAAGAGCTGCTCTGAAAGTAATACCTCCTGTTTTATTACTTTGGCCTCCAGTGTCAGAGGTGGATGTTGGTGGCATGGCAGTAGAGGCTGAACCTTCCCACCATTATTCTGTTACATTTTGTCACCATATGGCACTCCATGTGGAAAAAACTGCACTCATTGACATACATCAATGCTTGCTGAATGTTTATGGAAAACCAAACAGTGGATGTTAGTACAGTGAGGTGGTAGGAGGTGCATTTCTGCAGTTGCAACAGAGAGAAAGACAAAGCATGTTCTGGATAACCATACAGATTTTTATGAGCGTGACATGCAGGCTCGTGTGCATCACTGGCAAAAATGCATAGCTAGTGGTGGTGACTGTGTTGAAAAATAATGATCTGTAGCTGAGAATTTGCTCTATCAAATAGTGCTACTGGGTTCTTTGTCATTTTTTCCTTGGAAATATATAGGAGGCGTTACTTTCAGACCAACCTATTTACAATATTGATGTGCATATTTGACATATGTTGACATTTGTGAGTATTGGACTGAGTTGAGAGAGGGCATAGTGGTTGTATGTAGTAAATAGCAGTTGTACTCTGTAAAGATGAGATGTTCTGTTAATGAATCTGTATGTATTCCTATGGTCTGATCATTTTTGTTTTTCCTTCTGTTGTTCTTTTTTTTGCTTTTCTCCTTCCTCTTTAAAAGATGAAATTTGAAAATAACTACAAGGGCCCACAGGAGGAGATGTTTTTGAGGTATTAGCTACACTAAGCCTATGTATACACTGAATAAACACGTAAAAGCTCAAAACAGATTTTGAGCTGTTTGAAGGAAGAAATGGTTTTATGAATCACTGAGATGCAGGTGGCTTTGTCTTATTTCATGTATGGCTCCACAAGAAACAAGACATCTTTCTCTCCTCTGCTTAAACCCATAGAGACATTTCTTTGAAGTAGGCTTTGTAAAGGAGTCCAGCCTACTGCATTGCATTCTGGCACTGGCAGCTGAAAAATCAGATGGTTTTCAGGGAAGGTCATCTGGACTCTAATGCAGAGAGTTGAGGAGGGAGCTGTGGACAGCACATGGAAAAAATGTAAGGAGTGGAGGAAGAAAAAAAACAGCTGCATGCTTATGTTTTGGCCAAGGGAATTCAAAATTCTTGTGTATATTATATTCTTGTGTGTATTCTTGTGCACATATTGTGCCCAGAAAAGCCAAGAGGAATGATTAGACCTGGCATGCAGGAACTTCCAGAGGTCTATCATATCTAGACTAAGGTTGGTTATGGCTGATTACTTTGGCTGCTTCGTGACATGAAGTGGCATGAAGCTAGATGGTCTTTCTCAGGTTAAATCAGAAGCCTTGTTTTTTGAAATGATGAAAGTAACCTTAGCAAAACACCAGTGCTACTTCCTACTTAATGAGAAAAAAGCTGGTTTGGTTGGGTGTTTTGTTGTTGTTGTTTTGTTTTTGTTTGATTGATTGTTTTTGTTTATTTGTTTGTTTTTTAGCTCTTTGTTCCTACAGTAGTATAATTACTGTTATGATTGAAATGATCAGTAGTCTGAACTTCATTGTTCAATATTGAGCATTATGAAGCATTATTGTCACAATTAGGTGGGGTAGCATGGAATCAAGTTTAACCTCTACCATCCATTTCAATTTCAGAATGCACAAGAGAATACTCTTTAGAAAGAAATTGTTCCCATGTTTCAGAAAAGCCTTGAGAAGAGCTGAACAGCACAAAAGCAAAGCTGTCTCAGCTTTGTTACATTCAGGCTGGGTAAAACCAGGTGGTTTTTAGCATCTCGTGTCCAGAATGCTTAGCACACGTTATTAAATGGCTCATCTTGAAGACAACCAAGGTGCGTACCTAGAGTTTCATTTTTCTTTTGTCTAGTGACAAGCACAATTTTGAGCCAAGCTCTTACTTTCTTAAGGTGCTGGAGAAAAGTAAAGTGAGACTTTGGCAGGCCGGAAGAGATAGCCAAAACATGGGGGATTTTCATTGCTGCAGAATGAGTGAACTGGAAAGGAAAAGTTTGTGTAAAGTACATTTAGGTGCTGTAAGGTATTTGGGAGCTCTCACTTGATGGATTTCTGAAATGCCCTATCAGCTGTTATTCCACCTGGTGGTTCTATGCTGACTTTTCTGAGTCCCATCTATAACCCCACTAGCTGACTATTGAAAATACCTTCTTTAAAACTCAATCTTTTTCTGTAAAAAATACTCTCTTGTACTCAGAATGCAGAACCATGCTGTAAACACTTAAGGACTTGTCCTCACATTGGCTTCATGTATTTAATTCAGTGCCTGATGGAAGGTGTCCTGAATCTATTTGCCTGAGAAACATCGGCATTTGTATTTTCTTCCTATTTTGTTGGCCTTTGCTGTTGTCCCCAAATAAAAGCACTGGGAAAGGAGAAGTATCTCATTGCGTTGCCCTGAGATGAATAAGAGGCAGTTTTTATTTCTGGGGTTCAGACCAATTGGCTGTCCTTGGCAGGCTCTTTGGAGAGCAGAGCTGTCTGGGTTGTGGAGAGAAGAGAGAAGGGAGAAAGTTAGATGGATTCCAGTGACTTGAGCAGATAAGGGGCCACAGCTGCTTCATATTTAATTGGAAACAGCCAAATTGCAAGATCAATTCAGGAAGCACCTGTGTCCAGTGATGACTCTCTATTGTTACTGAGTTCTCAGAATCGGCTTTGACCTTCTGCCATGTGTTGAGCCTTGACATACTGCAAACGCTTTTCTAGGCTAAAAAAAACACACTGCTGTGCTCATTTCCATCAGACTTCTCTTTCAGATATTATGTTCAATGCTGCCTTCTTTCAAAATGGGAGAATTCCTGACAGTCTTTCATTTCTGACCATCTGAGAATTTACTGCAAACTCTCAGAGCTCTGCTGTAGAAATTAATTACCTTTCCTCTTTATGGTTGAACTTCCTGGCCCAAACGAAGCAACGTGTCTTTGCAGTTGTAGCTTCTCCTGTTCTTTCTGAAGCAAAGAGCTTGCTCGTTCTCCTTTTCCCACAGCATCCTACAGGTGACCCTGGCTCCTCAGCATCAGTTCTGTCTCATAATGGAAGTTTTTTTGCTTCACTATGAATGTTTTTTTGTTTCCCAAAGGATGAAAGCACACCTGATCCACACATTGATGCAGCTTTTTCATTCCATCCAGATTCATGACTTTTAAAATCCAGTGTGCAAAGCTGGGTGGAAAGTGTTTGGCATGATGT